AAAACAACATGACGGGGTCCCTGTTTTTGGCTCTACCCAATGTACAGACAAAATGCAGATACATGGGTTGACGGGGTCCCTGTTTTTGTTTGTTCCTTGTTGTTGTTGTTGTTGTTGCTGCTGGGCTTGCTGTTGTCTTGTTGTAGTGAGGCGGGTGGCAGGATGCGTCTCATGATGATGATGATGATGATGATGGTGGTGGTGCCCGTCATGATGATGACCGTAAGCATTCCGCCAGGAATGCGAGTGAGACGGCGCGGTATGCGCGGAACAGCGCCTATGTCAGGTGCCTTTCTGGGGCTTCCCTTAAAGGCCCAAAGGGCCTAATAATTATGTAACTTGCATTATGGATAGTAGGTTGTAGGTTAGTATTTGGGAGAGTATATGATTATCAGGTACTTGGACCCTTTAGGGTTACAGGGCTTTGTGTTTTTCGGGACTTCGGCTCCGCTACCTCGCGTAGAGCTTTCCCTGACATAGTGGGCTATTGTCATATGGGGTTTAGGGTTTCGGGTTTAGGGGTTTGGGGTTTAGGGTTTCGGGTGTAGAGCGTCTTGATAATGAGAATAGGGCTTAACTTGCACTCCACCCAGCTTCCAGTTGCAAGTTTGAAGGAAGACTCCAGGCATAGGGATGTGCTTGGAGGCTTTTTTGTTTTCGGAAGTCTACTTAGTAGCCCTAATGTCCTGCAGCCGCGATAATAATGACCGCAATCCCTGAACCCCAAGCCCTTCCAGGTTTAGAACTTTTGTGATGGAGTTGGCACAGATAGACGGCTTCATGGTCGAATCCTCGAGTTTCCCACTATCCAGCACATTGGAGGGAAAGCTTCTTCGCAACTAGGGCTCCCGTTTGAGAGGTTCCTACTCTGTTCGGAATCCGAGCTCTTGGGTGCTCATCAGGGATCCACTACTTAAACCCTAAACCCTAAACCCTGAACCTCTAAACCCCTTACCCCCCCCCCGTTACACCCTCTCCTGTCCACCATCACATTGGCGATGGAGACCCGCCCTGGCTAGCGGGCCTGAAACAGACCCTGCTGGGGGACATGAGAGAGATGAAAGCAGACCAGAAGGAAATTCTGACGAGCGTGCAGGAACAGCGTGCTGAGTTTCGGACCATGGGCGCCCGCCTTGATAGGGATTCCAGCATTTCCGAGGGGAGATGTCCAAGAAACTGGAGAACGTGGAAAAGGAGCTTAAGAGGTGCGCAGCCGATCGGTCAGTCCGGCACCCCTAAACCCTGAACCCCTAAACCCTAAACCCTAATCCATAGACCCTAAACCCCAAAGCCTGACCTGCACTTTTAAGTCTGTGCTGGACATAGGGGTCGCGGCCTGATAAGGGTCTTGCTGTGGGGTTTGCTTGTCTTCTGAAATCTGACAGGTTTCAATGTAGTGGCCTTAATAATTAAAAATTAGAACAGGGTTTTGGGGCCCATTATACCATAATTATAATAAGAACCTCCCAAACCTTGTGCGAATTATTAAGGCCCCTACATTACGGTTTAGGGTTTAGGCCCTGAGCTTAAACCTAGTCTCCTACTCAGAGGATCAGGGGGATTAGGCAACTAGGGTTAGAAAGAAGGTAACTAGAGTTATAGTTGCTTATAACCCCAATTAGGGTATAACCTTACCTACTGAGTCCCATGACCCTCCAAGTAAATCTCTACCAGGACCCCCTTCCCAAGTCCCATGTACTACAGCCGGTATTTAGTAATAGAGAGTTGAGGTTTGGGTCCACGTAAACCCTGAACCCGAGCTCCCTAAATCTGCAGTGGCTCAAGACCCTGAGTGCTTTCAACCATACAGAGAGTCATGCAGAGCACGGTGTAGGGTTTAGGGTTCAGGGTTTAGGGTTTAGGGTTTAGGGTTGAGGGAGCCTTAAGACGGTTTCAGGCATATCCCCCATTGAACCCCCAAGACCACCAACAGCGCTGAAGCCCGAAAGACCCTATCGTTTGGCTACGTAGTACAGTTAGTACAGTATCGCGCGCTCCTCCTTACTGCGCCCCGAGAACCCTAAAGTTTGAAACCCCGTAACATAGGGGCCTAGAATATATTACCTATACTATTTTGGCGGCTCCTTGTTATAACTAGAGCATACCATACACCGACAACCCTATTCTAATTATTAAGGCCCCTACATTAGCTCAGAACCCCAAAGCCTGAAGGCTCTTCCTGATTTGCATCTGCTTTGCCGAGCCACCGGGCAGAAAGATCCCTAAACCCTTAACCCTAAACCCCAAATCCCAAACCCTGAGCCATAAACCCCAAACCTCCCAAACCCTAAGCCCTAAACCCCTGAACCCCTAAACCCTAAACCCTAAACCCTAACCCTACTCCCTCAACCCTAAACCCTAAGCCAGATGCCTACACCCTAAAGCCTGGGCTTCGAAGCCCTTGTAATAGCAAGCAAAAGCGGGGGCTGTTGACGGCATATGCGGCCTTGCAGACATGAGGCGTCTCCGGCTTTGGGGCTTTGGGTTTAGGGTTTAGGGTTTAGTTCAAGGCTTGAGGGTAAGGGTTTGGCCGCCACTGCGTTTCGCCTGAATGGTTAGTATGGGGCTTCGAACTATCATATAGTATAACAGTAACACCATAAGAAAACCGAGTAGTATTGCTACTTCATATGGCGTCTAGATTGAGCGGGGCCGGCACACCTGTACATTGCAGTTCTAGTTGCTCAAGTATGTGTAGGCAACGCCTCTACATGCTTTGTTGAACTGTAATGCCTGGGAGATGCCAGTGAAGATCATCATGCTCAGACTCAAGCCCCAAGCCCTCACAAAAACCCTAGCCGCCCTAGCCCCCGCTAGGTCCCAATCTTCATGCCCTAAGCACTCAGAGAACAGCAAGCACCCTCTATGCCCCTGATGGAGTTGTGAGTTCTATCTTGCTCGCAGAGAGAATAATCGTGTTCGGCGTTTATAACCCTAAACCCTTAAATCCTCTAGGGTTTAGGGTTTAGGGTTTAGGGTTTAGGGCATTCAGCTCTGAACACCACTTTCAATACCAGAAACCAGCAACACCCCAAACCTCAAAACTCCTCCGAGGATCGTCATCCTCGTTCCCAACATCCTTACCGAAGTGGCCATTGACAGAGGCCAATCTTGAGTGTAATATTAATATAGAAACCGGAAAACTCCTCTGGAGTGTAATATTAATATAGAAACCGGAAAACTCCTAATGCAGTTCCTGAGCATCCTTAGGGTTTACGGATTGTTGTATTCACTATACGAGACTGTACCCCTCGACGCAGAACCCTGCTTTAATGGTTGAGGCCCTTAAATACTGATTTAGGCTTCAGGCTTCTGGCACAGGGATTGTTGGCTCTCCTTTAACGGGCTGTTAGGATTGAACTGAGGTTTTCTGGGTTCCTTGTTGCAAACCCTAAACCCTAAACCCTAAACCCCTAAACCCTAAACCCTAAACCCTAAACCCTAAACCCTAAACCCCTAAACCCTAAACCCTAAAGGGTCTTCGGGCTTTTCCTTGGTGTTTGAAGGGTTTCGGGTCCAGCTTGATGCCCGGGGCTCAAGGCCTTTGAAGGTGCTTAGAGGTGAAGGGGGACTTAGTAACTAGGGTAATAGGGTTTAGGGATTAGGGTTTAGGGTTTAGGGATTAGGGTTTAGGGTTTAGGGTTTAGGGTTCATGGGACTTAGTAACTAGGGTTTATAAATAAGGTAACCAGGCTGATAATTACTGATAACCCCAACTAGGGTACTTATTAACCTTACTTGCTAAGTCCCATGATCCTCCAAGTAGAAGTCTACAGGGCGGTTTTCAGTAGGGTCTTGGACATGGTTTGAGGATGTTGAAGACCGAGACATATACCAGAAGCTTTAATCAATGCCCCGACGCTTGAACCTGTCCGAACGCGAAGCACCACAACCCAAATCTACCCTAAACCCTAAACTTTGAGCCCCCTCACCGAATTCCAAGCCCCAGAACTTTCAAACTCTGACGCGCAGTAATAAATGCGCGCAATGAAATCCCGCCCTAAAATCCAGGTGTGTAGGGAGTTTCGGGTTTCAGGTATACTGTAGACCCAACCCTCCTGAGCCCCTAAACCGAGTTTCGACAGATTGCAGGGCTCTTGTTTTGGAGTCCTTTGATGTGGCTCTTTGGGTTTAGGGTTTAGGGTTTAGGGTTTAGGGTTTAGGATTTCTAGTCGGCGGAGCCCGTCCACGTCGGGCCAGCCTCCCGGGCAGCGCATCGAAGACTCCGGTCAGCATTGTGCATTCCCAGAGACTCCAATATCCCTTAATTCAGGAATATACCTTAAATCATATTAAGGATCCTACTGTATTTTAAGGAATATTCCTTAATCAAGGAATATTGGAGTCTCTGGGTTTCTTGCGGGGCGTCCTCAGCTGGGGTTGCGCAAGAAATGAAGATCATAATCCATTTCCAAGCGTGCGGGTAGGCGAGGCTGCCCACCCTGGGCCATCAGGTGGCGGAAGCCGTGGTACTGATCGGAAGCGCCGTGAGTTGGATGCCGTTCCCAACTTACTCAATAAGGGTCCCCTTTAAGAGAGCCATAAGCAGGGTTAAGAAGGGCCCCCTTTAAGGGGTCTCCCTATAGTAGTACCTAGGAAACTTGGGTAGAATCTTTACATTGCCACAGGAGTTGCTCTCCTTGCTGGTGGGCGATGGAGCAAACCTTTCTCGTCTGACGGGATTGCTTCAAGGATTCGAGGGGGGAACCTTCGCGGCAGGGTGCAGTCACGCTAATTCCAGTTTTTTGTGGGCTCCAAATCATGAGCGTGCCTTGTTTGCTGAAACTGCCACGCGGGTATCATCGGGTTTAGGGTTTAGCCTATGCATGATTATGGGTCACAATGCTTCCCCTCAAGGTCCCGGTAGACCGCCAGAGATTTCCCAAACCCTAGCGTAGATCCTTTGCCCGAAAAACCAAAACCTTAAACCCGGAACCCCCAATCTATGAACCTTGAACTTTGCCTACCAATCCCGATTAAACAACCGTAACATCAAATAAGACCTTCTGAAGCCCTAACATAGGGCTTAAATAATTAACAATACTATTTTGGAGGTTCCTTATTATAGTTTTAGTATCACATACCCCACAACCCTATTCTAATTCTTAAAGCCCCTATTTTATGAAGACCTATAAGACCGAAAACCCAAAGAGCACCAGGGCTCTATGCGCCGATCCTGCGCACAGTTCTCTCCGTGGTGAGGCACCTGCCTTCGGAAACATCGGCATTAGATGTTGACTAGGGGGTTGCCCTAAACCCTAAACCCTAAACCCTTTAAATAGGGACTTGTTGATTTTGTTGGTTTTCGTGAGGCCCATGGTTTGGAGCAGGGTGGATGCGGGTTCAGCCCTGAGAGGGTTTGGCCAACACCAGACACAAAGCGAAACATAGCCTAAACCCTAAACCCTAAGCCCCTACACCCTAAACCCTAAACCCTACGCCCCTAAACCCTAAACCACTAAACCCCTAAACCCTAAGCCCCTAAATAA